TTTTTATAGAGACGCCAAGGGGTGGAGCAAAAGACCTCCTCCCCCAGCACAGCCAAGTGCAGACCATCTCAGACACCTGCACTCAGGCCCGTGGTCCTGATCATCCTCTATTCGGACCTGCTGGGTAAAGCCACGAGGAACCCTGGAACGGGCTCCCACATAGGTCCCCTCCTCCCACGCTCCCTGCTTATCCCCCCCCTCCCCTCTCCTGCTTTAAGCTCTGCTGCCTCGTGAAGCTGCTGCTCCATTGGGCTGCGGACGGAGGAGAAGCAGGTCACTGCCTAAGGGCCACACACGCTTTTCTTTTCTCAACCAAGACTCAGGTTGTCTTGAGTAAGTTGTTATCTGCTGGAGGCCCTCGGGGCAGCTCCCATAGGCTTCCCGTGGCTGCTTTAAAAATACCTTTCATACCTTTCATTGCCTGTTTCACCGGGAAAAGCCTGTGAAGCTCTTTGCCCTCCCAATTTGGATATCTCATATTCTCTCTTAGTTTTTTCCTTTTCTTTCTTCTTTCTTTATGGCCTGATATGGAATTCTAGTACTGCCTATAGGTAGCTGTCATGGAAATTTAATATTTTCCTTAAAAGTCAGGGTGAAAGTGTTTCTTCCCCATTTGACACTTAAATGTCCCTGTGGTAGGTGTTGGGCACTATTTCCCTCCCTCACTTTTGGCCCCATTTGGACTTGATGTGCTGGAAACATTGCTGCAGTTATAGACTGTCTCCTCGGTTCATACATTAGCTGTGTTTTCACCCAGCTGGCTGTAAACTGGCTTCCGTAAACTCACACGTGGACTGTCTTGCTCAGATGATGTATGTTCTCCTCAGAGCACACTATTCTGTTTGTTTATTGCCGTCATGAGCTGAGATTGTCATGTAACAATTCTGTGAAGAAATGGCGCGTTGAAGTGAAGAGAAGGGTGAGCTGACCGCCCCCCATGGAGGCTTACTGTGAGGCCACTTAATCGGGGTAGCTGTCTGGTAGGACAGTCAAGGCCACGTTACAAGGGAAACCCTATTGAAAGTAGAGGGCAGAAGGTCAGTCATGGAGGACCATCCTTAATGTGCATTTCAGCTGCAGCCATTAATAAGACAGAGCTTTCCTTGTAGAAATGGAAATGAATGGATGCCTTGCCTGAGGAAGTGCAGCATTGACATTATATTTGAAAAGAACTGTTTGTAAAATGAATTAGAGCAAGACATAAATTCATTGTTATTCAGGTTGTTTAGTCTCAAATGGAGATCCTGGGGAGTTTGTTTCTTTAATGATCCAATGTGTAAATTAAATTTTCTGAAAGCACACTCATTTCTAAGCATTCATTTGAAACTCATTTTAATTGTTTCACAATAGACTCTCTCCCTCCCGTCTTCAGGGAAAAGCCAGTTGTCTTGTAACATTCTGTTATAGAGTTTGACCTCAGTGACTTATGATGGAAAGGATTTTTTATTTCATGTATTTCCGTGTGTGTGAGATGTGTGAGGGGGCATGTGTCACAGTATGCATGTGAAAGTCAGTGGACCATCTCTGGGAGGCTGTTTTCTCCTTCTACCTTGTGGGTCCCAGGGATCAAACTCGTCATGTTGCCTGCCTGATGGGGAAAAGAAGTTGAATATATAATGAAAATAGTATTTCCATATTGAAGTGCATGCATGGAATTGCTCTTCTATGAGGTCAATTTTTAAATTTTATAAGTTAATTGTGAATTGAGCAAACATTTGTTTAGATGCTTTCTTGAGAGAGATTTTTAAAACTATGAAGATCTAGTTTTGGAAGTGAGACATAGAATTATGAGTTTTCCTCCAAATGCTCTGTAGGTAAAGTAAATATGCTTATGCTTTTCTTTCTTTCTTTTGTTTTGCCTTGTAGGCAGCAGGGGCAATTCGACCTCTGGTGTCCACTGTCATCAGTCCCGCTGCAGATGGCTGCTTGGACCACGCCCTGGACCGGGCCAAACACAGGGCAAGTGAAATGCCACAGGCTTTTCTCTTTGATGTGATCTATGAGGCGTATCAGCAGGTAAGAGTCTGGGCTCTCCAAAAGCCACTGTTCTGTTGTGCTTTTTAAAACTATGTCTACATTTGAATTTTCAGAAAGACCTACGAGACTCAGCTTGTAGCTGTAGTCCAGGGCAGAGTGTACCACAGCGGAGAAACGGGAGTACTCGATTGCCTTAGAACAGATACTCAGGCAGGGCGGGAAGAATCCATCTGGAAGCTGCTTAAGCTCTCTCCTTCTTTTGATGGGTCGCAGAGAGCAATTCCTGGAGCAATGGAAATGCAGGAACATGTGTGTCATGCTTAGAAATCCCTTAGAGGACCAGAGTCCAGGGTTGGGGGTGGGTGGGCTTTGTCACATAGATGTCCTCTGGCCAGCACATCCAGAAATTCCACATTCTTAGGAGAAATGCAGATGTTCACTGTAAACATGGCTATGCATTCAGATAAATATCCCATACCAGTACCCTCCCAAACACTGGTCCACACCTGTCTTATAAACAGGTCTTCTTGAGGACAGTAGTTTCAGGCCTAATATGGTGAATTTTCTGCACAGATACCTGGACATCTTAATTAAATATTTAAGTTAACTAAGTATAAAAATATCACCCCGGAAATTGATACTGGAATATCTGTAGTTTTTCTTTCATTTGGAAAGATTCTGTACTTACATAATTTTATTGCTATTTATTTACATATTTGAATAAGTCATTATTGAGTGTCATATAATTGATCTATCAGAAACTTTCTTAGTAAAACAAGTTGGAGTAACTCAGTGCCCAACTGGCATTGGATAATCAGTAAATGTGTTGAAAGAGATGGGCAGTTAAGGTTATAAGGTAATGAAAATAGAGACATTTATACTAAATATGTTAGATATAGTTAGGTTAGGGAATGGTAGTGGTTATTCCCATACATACATTCAATTATCAATACTTGGCTATGGTTACTTTTTGAAGATTGATTATGTAGACTTTTATTTCAATGAGAAATTCAGACATAATTTTTCTTTTCTTAAAGTAAATTGGAATATAGGACATTACTTTGAGAATTTTATTTTAATTAACCTCATTATTCTATTACGGATTTCTCCAAGTGGAGTTCACATATCCCACAGACTAAATGTTGCTGAGCTCTACTCTGCCATTAGCACATTTCTGAGATTTGTGAAAGTGTTTACTAGTTTTAATATATACCCTTGTGTATTGTTGTGATTTGAATATGAACTGTCCACCACAGGCTCATGTATTGAACACTTGGCGCCAGTCAGGTGGTGCTATTTTAGAAGGCAGTAGAAACTTTATGATGAAGGCTGGAGGAAGTAGGCTGTGGGTGCCATGCCTTGGACAGAAAAGTCTTGTGCTGTTTTCTTTTATTTTACTTTTTGGTTTCTTGAGACAAGATTGCATGAGTCTGAACTCAGACTATCTGTGTAACCAAGGCTGGCCTTGGCCTCCTGTGCTGAGGTTATGAGCATGAACCACCATGCCTGCCCTGGTCTCATTCTGTATCTTTTTCTTTGCTTCCTTACCACCATGATATGAGTAGTTCTTGTCTTTGATGTTGGACTGAAACCTCTGAAATCATGAATTAAGTACATCCTTCTTCCCTTAAGTTGTTCCGTCAGGTATTTTGTCATGGTAATGAAAAGCCCAAGACATAGAACATATTTATGATAATTGGGATAATTTAGATAGTGTAATATGATGCTCTAATATTTAGAATGGATTTGAAGGTAAAATTGGGAAAAGTCTCCTAGTAGATTGAATATCACATACCAAAGATAGGGAAGAATCATTAGCCCAAAGACTTGTTCTGAGAAGCTAGGATGCAGTTATCTTTTTCTGAGATGGAAGTGAAGGTTTCACTTATAAGATGTGATTCTTTCTAGACCTAGTATTGTGAATGTTTAGAAAGTATAGTGAAGAGTAAAGACTGCTATGTGTAGAACATAGACTTGCTCCGTGGAATGTCTGATGGGTTGGTTAATAGCAGGATGATGCTAAAAGTTCTTATTTCATCTTGTATCTTCTTCTGTTGCTTTAAGACTTGGAATCAGATCCCAAGGCAACTGTGCATAAAAATGTTAGTCATTAAAGACTGCATAGAACTCTTCCTTTTCAAGGCTGAAGAATCCAAAAGAGGAGAACTCAAGTATTTTCAGTGGATTCTCAACTTCCAGCTTCTATAAGCTCTCTTCCAGAATCCTGGAGTGGAGTCTAAAAGTCTTCAATCATTTCCCCAAGTTTTTCAGGGGCAGGAGAGCCTTTCAAGCCATCATTCCATGTTGAGGAGCAATCACAAAATTGAATTATTTTCTTTAAGAAGAAGCAATATGGGAACAAAATTACCACTTGTTTCAGGACGACAGTTTTGGTAGACAGACATCATGTAAACAGAAGCTGATTGGCTTCCTTAACATCAACAATTCTTTAAGCACCAGGTGGAAAGATGGTATTGACTAGAACTGGGATAATGACCAATTAGACCGCAGTTTGATAGAGACCACTGGACTCTGCACACTTCTTGTTTCCCTTCTGTGGAATCATAGAACTTATGTTAATATCTTAAGCAACAGCGCTTACTTACCAAGCCAGGGTTACCTGATCATGATCTGTGGGAATGTCATCTATCAGGCCTGGTTGGAAGGTCACAGCAAGACTGAGGCTGAGACAAGCTCATTGCAAGCAATCAGACTTTTTATACCCTTATCAGAAACAGAATATAGAGGCGGTTTCCAGGATCAATACAATGGTAGTTGCCAGGATACAGGGATGTTTTTAGGCTATACAGGATATACAAGATTTATGTCAGCTGGGCGGCAGTGGCACACGCCTTAATCCCTGCAGTCAGGAGGCAGAGCCAGGCAGATCTCTGTGAGTTCAAGGCCAGCCTGGTCTACAGAGCAAGATCCAGGATGGAGAAACCCTGTTTCAAAAAAAAACCAAAAAACTAATGTCTAAAACTAACTGTCCTGTCAAACTTTTATATGTTTTACTGACTTCTAGGGAATGGAGAGAAACACAGGCAGCCTGAATGCTTCCCTGCCTGAGGGAGTGCCTCGGTTTCTCAGGAACTGGAAGTCACACAGTGTCCCAGGACCCATGGACACTATAATCTGAAAGGCCTGTTACACATGCCTCTCAAGGCAGCTAGACCAAGCTGCCATGATTTGCTGCTGTTCCCCCTTTTTATTTTTTAAGTGCAGAATATGCAAGTCTATCTTCAAAGCAGGCATGGAGTAGCAAATCATTCTCAAGGCTGTAATGCTTCTCAGTATAACCACCAAAATTTCTCAGGGGCTTTCCTATGGACCACAGTTTAGAAGTTCCATTAGAGACACAAAAAATAATGACCAAAAATCTTTGCTAGGTTTTGCACAGCACCAGAGAAGGGTGATTCACTTAACTTTGAATACTAACTGGTTAATATTTCATCATTCAAGGCCTCAACATCAATGCTTACATTGTCATGTGACTGTATTCCTGTAAGATGACTACGAATCTGACTCCAGTTAAATTGAGAATAATTAACATAAGTGGGGATGTTTTTGTCTTCCCATTTAACAAAGTCAAACACAGGATCAGGTGCATTGTGCTCGGTGTGTCTCAGCAGTAACAAGCGCATTCAACAGCGGCAACACATGAAGGAGCAGCATTCTGCAGTCACAGTCTCCCGCTGAGACTTTTCCCTCAGTCACTGTTGGTAGAGACTCCGTTCTTGGCTTGATGACTCCCGCACTCTGTTCATTGTGTTTTCTTCAGGGGAAGCCTCCGTAGATACTCTTGATCCTTTCCATTCACCTTCCACAGGTCGAGTCAGACTTTCCGATACCCACACCGGCTTTTCAGTACCCTGAGGAAACATGCAAACAAAGCCACAGCTCCCGTGAACTTCTAGATCTGGGCCGTTCCATTGACCAGACAACATCTCTCTAAAGGACCGTGATCCAAAATTATTTTGGAGGGGCCCAAAGTGCTCTATAGCAGTAAGGCCAAATTTAAAATTTGGCTAAGCCTTGCCCAAATTAAAAACAAAATTAAAGTGTATATAGAATAGAATATAAAAATCTCGTGAGGAGTAGCTATACTACCTTTTCCCTCTCCTTTATTTTAAATAACGTTTAAGTTGTCCATTAGTTTTTTCCACAAAAGATTACTTTGGGGGTTATGTGGAACGCCTGTGATGTGGCTCACAGCGTTCTGTTGGCAAAATTCCTGAAAGGGTTTGGCTGTGTCTGCAGGACCATTGTCAGTTTTCAGTGTTTCACAAGGGCCTGAAACAGTATAGGCTCTTAGTAAAAAGGTGATAACACCCTTAACTGCTTCTTCTGATAGGGGAACAGCAAAAATGAGCAGCGAGTAGGTGTCCCCAATGATGCGAACATATTTCAGTCTACCAAAACTAGGGTCACAAGTAACATACATGAGCCAAATATGATGTAGCTATAATCCTCAGAGTTACGCCATAAGAGGGAAGAGGCATGACACTAACTTTTACCCATGGAGGGCATTAAACCTGTTTTCAAGGCTGAAGCATTTTTTGATGAAAGTGTACATGAGATTCTCATGCTTCCTTTAGACTGTTCATTCCTAGGAAAAGAGCCAGTGATAAAAGGGAGTCTGCCTTTGCATTTCCCTCAGATAGAGGTCCTGAAAAATTAGAAGGTGACCTAATATGGCCAAAATAAACTGGGTTTTCCCACTGCTGCAATTCCTGTTGAATTAATTGTAATAAATCATGATTAGAGGTGCTTGGTGAAGTGATCCATGCTGCTTCTAGACACTGTATTTCGAGGACTGTGTATGTGAGTCAGAGTTGCAGTTTAGAGGTTGAGGGTGGCATTATAAGGTGTTGTAAATCATGCGTCATTCCATCTGCTGTGCAGAAGCAGTTGGGTGAGTGAAAATCATCAAAGCCTCTCTAGACACCAGGGCACCTTAATCTTCCGGGGCATGTGCTAATACTGTTTGTGTAGAGGGTACTAGCTGAAGCCTGGTACTTTTAGGAATAGAATAGCAT